TATATATATTTACTGTAGGTCTTCTTAGAGCCTTTAATAGGTTAATGCATGTTGTGAATCTATGAAAAGGAATGCCTGATGTAACAATTTTAAACTCATTTGTCTGTGGAATGTTATTATTCTTAAGACTTTAGGCTTTCATTCAATTAATATTTGCTGGACATCTATCATATGCAAGCATAGGGATGAGTGTTGGGGATCAATTAAATAAAGTAGATGTAGTCTCCTCTGTAAAAGTCTTAACCTAATGAATTGTTTATTTACTCCTCAATTATTAGTCTGGAATTCTCTTTGGAGAGATCTATTTTATGCCATTTTCCAGATTTCTGATACTGCAAAACTACTTGTCAAAACAGATACAAATCACCTGAAGTTGTCTTATAAAATGGGTGTACTTTTGTAAAATGTAAAAAGGGGGGGGTCACAATCAAGTATAACAGAAGTGATTTATTCCTTTAGTTCTTTATATCCTTGATCAGTTTTAGATAAGGATTTTAAAATACTCAGTAAAAGTTTAAGTCCTTCACTTTTTTTTTTTACTTCTTTAGGTCTGACTCCTCTCCCTGTATTAGTCATGAAATCACCACATTTTTCTCCCCCTCTTGTCTCAGAAGGGCTCTGACATCAGGCATTTTGACTGGTTTGGATTTACTGGAAGGTATTTTGATAGATGTTTGCTATGTGTTGATTATTGCTAGACAGTTTGGGGCTCTTGTTCTCTTCTTCACCAAGCTAACACACATGTACACACAGTATACAAACATACATGTGCACATACCCTCCTCAAAACAGGACAAATCCAAGGTCTTCAAGATCTTGTTGAAGGAAGAGGCCTGTACTAAGTCACAGGAATTCCTCTACCTTAAGAAATAAAATGTCCTAAAATATATTCTCTTCTGAGAGTTTTATATGCAGTGGAGCTCCTCTGTTCCCAATAAGTAGGTCTACATCTAGTTAACTATGGCATGTAAATTCTGATACATGATGAGAAGAAAAATATGTAGGATGCAAATAAGACATTTTACCCTGGACCCTGGGATGATGATGTCCAGCTTTCTACATAATGTAGATTAGCAAGGACTTTGATCTTCACCAAGTAGCTGTGAATACATCAGATGTCGAAAGAGATGGTCCAATGGCTCTAGACATGTAAGCAGTCATTCTTACATACTGGTCATCACAGGTTCAGTAGGAATTTCCATTGAGACTTTTCCAGGAAAGTCTCAAATGTCCCACCCTGTCCCCTGAAATACAATCACTTACCCTGCTCCCTCTATGAACTGCTAATTCCCCTCTACTAAGTTCCTCCCCGCTTACTAGATTCTCTGTCCAATAGATGTGAGCCCTAGGTCTAACGATCATACCTATGATTTGATGTGGTGAAGATACAAAGGATGTATCATAACAAGTAGTTCATTTCATAATTACTTGAATTCATGAAATCAACCTAAAAACTGCTTTATGAGCTGTATGTTAGTCAGTTTGTCATCATTGCAATAAATATCTGAGATAGTCAATTTACAAAAAGAAAAAGTTTATTTTGACTCTCAGGTTTGAAGTTTCCAGTCTATAACCCACTGGTCCTTTTGCTTTTAGGATTTGGGGAGAGAAGCACATCATGGTGGGGGATGTGCATCAGAGCAAAACTGTTCACCATATGGCCAGGGATGAAATGGAAAGAAGTGAAAGGAGGTGAGTCCCCACTGCCCCCTGCAAGGCCACACCCCCAATGACCTAAAGGTCTCACCTCTTAAAGGGCCCACCACCTCTCAGCAATGCCATGCCAAGGACAAAGCCTCCACTACATGGATCTTTAGGGAGCACTTAATATCTACTGTAGCAAGTTGTTTTTAGAGCTTTTATTTATGCAAATTATTTCTCAAATATTTCTTAACTCCTAACTTTTTTGACCATACATATCACTACATATTTCTAGGTCACCCTCAGCTAAGAGCATAATCATAGGTATCAATTAGTCTTTGTACCTGTATTCTGCCTTCTCCAGTTGATTTTTTCATTTGGAACAAATAATCTTAAAAAAAAAAAAATCAGGTCATCAATTTGTAGCCAAAATGAAGTAATAGGGTAATTTGGAAATAATCAGAAAACAGAAGATTATGTGTATTTTTTCCCAGATGTAAAACAAAGATAATACAGCACCATGATCCCTAAATGAGGGAAAACAACAATGTGATATAGAGTGACCAACTATCTTAGTGATCTCAGTTTGCCTAGGACTTACGTTGTTTCCAGAACAAGAGCCTTTCAGTGCTAAGACTAGAAAAGTCCTGGACAAACCAGGATAACTTGTTCACCTAAAACCCTGTGCTTTCACTACCTGGTTGCTTGTAGGAAACAGTGGGGGAGACCTAAATGTAGCTACCCAGTCTTGAGTGGAGGAGATAGAGGTAGGAGTTTAGAGAGCTGAGGAAGATAGAATTTGAGGAGTACCAGAAAAAAGAAAGCTGCACAAAGAAAGAGGTAGAGCTATTCAGATACACAGAGGATTTCTTCAACTCACTGGCTGAGTTCTGATCTGCAAATTCCGGAGAGGCTGGGGAAAGAAACATCAGAAAGGAATAGTTGGAAAACTGTTGGGGCTCACACGGGGCTGGGATTAAGTTTTCATCCTGAAAGCAAGAAGGGAAATGCCTCATACTTCAATAAACAGTGGGTAGAATCCTCGGAGGGCACTATCTTAGCCCCGGAAGCCAATGAGCTCTAGACAAATGACTGTTCTGAACCCATCCTAACAGATCTTGATAGGATTTGACTGCTTCCAGGTAACTTAACTGTATACCAAGAAATAAAACAGAAGCAACTGAAAACTAGTATTACTTAAATATATAGAACAAAATCCATAAAGCCAGGAAAAAAATCAATAAGTAGGAAAAAAAATGACAAGAATATATAAAGAGAAAAATATAACAATTATGATATAAAACATTGTTTTCTAGTTTCTTTAAAAGATGGATAATTCTTCAAGAAAAAATCTAGTGAATTCTGGACTCTGTCTTATGTAGAAGTAAAGAGTATGGCAGTATAGCATAAAAGTTGGAAGGGGAAATGAATGAGTGTGTCCTGATGTGATGTTCTTACATCATGTGTGAAGTAGTATAATAAAAATGATTTACCTAATTTTAAAAAATAAGAAAAGAATAAAGAAACAGAGAATATCAATAACTAGAAATTAAATAGTGATATGGAAGATATAAAATCAATAATATCAATAACTATTTTGCTAAAAGTCTGTATACTTGAACTGAATTACTAAATTGGATTAAAAGAAAATACCCAACTGCGTGTTTGCTGAAAGGCACCACTTAACATATAGATTTTTAAAATTAACAATAAAAGAACAGCAAAAATTATGTCAAGCAAGCACCAATCAAAAGGAAGATGAAGTGGCTATAGTAATAAGATAACATTGTATAGTTTTTACACTTAGAAAACTGCCCCCTCACTCACAGTTAGTGATAACAAAAGTATACAGAAAATCAGTGAAGATGTAGCAGACTTTAACAGTACTATCAACCAATTTGACCTAATTAAAATTGATGAAACCCTCCATCCAACAACAGAATGCACATTCTTTTCAAATACGCTTACCTCATTCAATAAGATAGACAATATTTTGGTCATAAAACAAGTCCCAGTCAATTAAAGAGGATTAATATTATATGAAGTGTGTTCTCTGAATCTTAAGAGAATTAAATAGAACTCAGCAACAGAAATATATCTGCAAAATACTTCAAATATTTAGAGACTGACCTGCAGGACAAAAAGAAAATCACAAAGGATATTAGAAAACATTTTGACTTGAATAGAAACAAAAACACAGCATAGCAAAATTTGTGGAATGAAACTAAAACAGTTCTTAGAGCTTATGGTATTAAATAGATGTTTACATTAGAAAAGAAAAAGGATTTCAAATCAACGATCTTAGTTTCCTTAGGAAACTAGAAAAAGAAGAGAATGTTAAATCCAAAATAAGCGAAAGGGAAAACAATAAAAATGAAAGCTACATTTATCGAACATTTACTGTGACCCAGGCATTATTTTCTCCCTTTTATGCCCAATACCTTTTCCAATCTTGTCACAACTTTATGAGTTATGTGATTATTATCCTATACTTCAAATGAAGAAACTGCATCTTGCTGAAATCCAGTTAAGTTCTCCAAGTTTGTGTAGAGATGGAGTTGTGATTTGAATTCAGATCTCTATGCTATAGTATTCCAGTGCCTATGAATGGTGTTGAGCGTATGTACACTTTAAGCAAATTTTATTATCTATATACTTGATATTTCTCTATTTTGTGTATATACAATAGGGTGTACATACGTATACAATACAAATATGCATATATACGTACACATACACTAATTCTTTGTTAATCTAGAACCAGAAGGTTCTTCTCCTAGTTTATCCCTCTTATTATCATCTCTGAAAATTGTTCTACCAATGAAATGATCCAACATGAAGGACATCTGTGGAAACAGTCTGACTGGAGCCCGTGAAAAATTTCCACTTCTTCCTGCCAGTCTCTCAAGCTCCTTGGGTCACAGAGATATGGGTGAGCAGCTGAGACCTACAGTGTATAAAAGGTCACTGTCATTCACTCCTGTGTAGTATCTCCTCACAAGAAGAAAGGCAGCCTCCTTAAAATATTAGGAAGCCAAACTTGTGTTCGTTATGTGAGAAGCCAATGTGTTTCCCTCCAAGCCCAAGGTAGTGAAGAGCATCAGATACCTGATTCCTACTTCTGGGACTGCTATACAATTACTGTATTATCTTGGGTAATTCACTTCATTTTCTGGATCCTCAGTATTCTCAGCTGTAAAATAGAAGCAAAGAAGCATCTTGAATGCTCTCTCCATTTTACTGTTTTTTCACTCCTTCTCTCCTATGAAGTCGATAATTTTGACAGTCGTATAACTCCTGCAAAATCAATTCCTAGTACTATGAAGGTGAAAGTCAGACCATATTAGCTACCATCTCCAAATCCTTCAATGGCTTCCCTTTCATTAAAATAGAAATGTAAATCCTTACAAGCGTATCATAACATAATTTTCTTCCATAACCCCCGCTGAGCTTCTGTTATTTCTCAGACTTTATCTACTATTCTGTCCCTCTCTGTTAATTTGCTAGAGATGCCATGATAAAAATATCACACTAGAAGGGGCTTAAACAACAGAAATTATTTTTCTCACAGGTTTGGAGTCCAGAAGTTCAAGGTCAAAGTGTCAGCAGGTCTGGCTTCTGTGAAGGACTCTGTGGCTTCCAGGTGACCACCTTCTTGGTCTTCACACAATCTTTCTTCTGCACATGAAGATCCCTGATGTCTCTTTCTGTGTCCATATTTCTTCGAAGTTCTTACAGGAACAGGAGACAGATTAGTTTAGACCCTCATTTTAACTTGATCACCTATCTGGCCTGTTTATCTATTCAAAAAGAAAGATTTTGAATGCCAGCTAATGTACTAGTCCCTGTTAGAATCTAGGGATGCATAGGAAAACAGGAGGACTGGGATCAGGATTAATAAGAACAGAAAAGGTATACATGAAGTCACATCCGTCCAGAGAAGGGACGGGTATCTGGAAGGCTTCTGGGAAGAGTTTGCCATACTGTTAAAGCCTGAAGAATGAACAAGTGCTCCAGGCATCCAGTAGGGAAAAGAATTTTCTAGACTGTGTTAAGATCATGTGCGAACTCGCAGAAGCATGAAATGGTATTGATATAAACAGAGTAAAGGACATGCAGAGAATGTGAGAGAATGAGACTTGGTTAATATAGTGCTAGAGAATAAAAATCATGTGTGCCAAAATGCTGTATTTTGAAAGCTCTAGAAACATTAGAAAATTCTTAATAATGAAATTGTTTGACTAAGTCTCTACCTTAGGAAGTTTAGTCTGCCATCAATGATAAGCGCTAGCTCATCAGAGGAGATGAGTTAGCAAGAAATAAGAATCAGCATCAAGGCAGAGGCAGCACAAAGGGCACAGAATATGAGGCTAGGTGATGCAAACAGACCCTAAAGGGCTGGCGTTGGGTTTAGTTGTGGCAGTTGAACAAGAATCAAACTCTAAACTAACCGCCGGGTTTCAGGGTTGGCAGAGAATGAGATGAGAGTGTTACTCATTACGAGAAGATGAAGATGAGGAAGAAGGAGGAGGAGAAGGAGAGGGAGGGGAGGGGGAGGGCGAGGAGGAGCAATGAACCGAGGTAAGATGTTCCATGGACCCCCAAAATTGGGACGACTCAGTGTGACCTGGGATAAACATTGACCACACTAAAGCAATCACAGGGTCCTCTCTTGATTTCCCACTGTCAAATGAAATACAGTGCTTAAAACACATGTATAATGCTTCACAGAGAGCCAAATGGTTTCTTTTGACCTCAAAAACATGCTAAAGCAGACAAAAGACAATTTTTTTGGTTTATTTTCATTTTACTGATGAGGAAGCTGGCAATTAAAGAGCTTGAGTGATTTGCTCAAGGTCATACTTAGTTTTAGCTTAGCAAGATTACGTCTTCTGATGCTTAATCTTACTCTTTGCAAGACCACACAGTTCTCCCAAAAAAGCATGCTTTACAGTAGAATTTAGTCCAATACTTTTTCT